CAATTTGTATAATTGTGCTAGCTGTATTAGTGTAAGGTTTCTATTTATTATGCTAGTGATTTATACTATTAACAACACTAATGATAATTATTTACAAATTTGCCAGAATTGGMCATTGAAAATTATTTTCTAGTAATATTATTTTGTTTTCAAATTTCTATCAATTTGTACAGGATTTCAGAGGAAATATGTGCATTTTTGCCTAAAGTAACCACATAAACACTTTTAATTATAGGTTTATTTCTTTATATGTACAGGATTTCAGAGAAAATATGTACATATTGTTAATTAATGTGATTTATTATTATTATTTTTTTTTACTTTTATTTCTTTATATATAGCTATTTGCAATAATTCTGACCCACCTACCCTAATATTCATATATATCAAACTAAGCCTTTATATTATTGGATATCATGACTGATATATGAGTACTTTCCAAAAAATACCAGAGATGGTATCCCATAATTTCTAAGGCTTCTTTGACATATATGAATATTAGTGTAGGTGGGTCAGAATTATTGCGAATAGCTGTATCTTGAAATATATCATTAAAATGTGATATAATATGTACAGGATTTCAGAGAAAATATGTACATAGTGAATATTGTGAAGTTATAACTTTAATAGAATTAAGAACTAAAATGTTATATAGTATGTACAGTATTTCAGAGTAAATATGTACATAAAGAGTTTTCCAAATATGACTGTTCCAGTTAGAGCATATATATTATCAATTCATTRACTATAATAATTATGATAATTGTTAATGATAACAAGTATAGACCCCTTGCAGTTCATGGGAATGCAGCTGCAACTGGAGGACAAAACAATGGATTCTAGTTCCCAAGAGGATAAAAATCTTTTGTTTTGTCCTCCAGATGAAGCTGCTTTGACGTCACATGCAAGGGGTCTATAAATAGTGAATTTTTGTTTTCATACCATCATGCTGAGGGCAGCTTCTTTTAAATATGTATAGGGGCGCTTAGTAGTTCTAATCGTCACGTTTTAGTGTTTGTTTTGAACATTATTTGCACAAGATGATACTGGTTAGAATAGTTTCATATACTGTTGTAMGCAGAATTAATTTTTTCCCTTATAGCTTCCCTAGCACCCCTATATCTTTTTAAGGAAGGTGTCCTTCTTTATTATAATCGACTATTGAGTTGTTCAGTCGACATAACTGCACGTTGAAGTCATTTTCTCACTATTGAAGTGAGCAGAGAAGGCGCTTATYCTCGCTGTGACGGAGAGATAGCGACAGTAGCCTGCGTAGCGGCTCTAGGGGAGGAGGGGGGAACGTTTTTGTAGCGACATTGGAGATTGGACTGACGACGGAAGCAGAGTGATGAAAACCTTTCTTCACCGTTTCGCGTCGATTTCTTTGTCTCTGCTTACTTCAATAGTGAGAACCAGCATTTTTGTGCTACGTAAATCATCATAATGGCTAGTTTATATAAATATTTAAATATTTAGCTGTCTGGCACAGTATTCCAGCGAGAGTATGTGCCGGCCATAATTCTCGTTAATTACGTTTGCACCGTTGATGTGTTGGCATTATTTAAAACTAGTTTGAGAATCTTAAAAGTAATAAAATGCATTTATATATTTAGCTGTCTGGCACAGTATTCCAGCGAGAGTATGTGCTAGCCATGAATTCTCGTTTGTAAACCATGTCTTTTGTCAATAAAATACATGTGATTTGAAGCACTTTTTGTCTTTTTTTGGCGAATTTTTTCCTGGAACATGTGTATGATGATAATACAATACAGCCAGCTGCAGGCGAGTTCATAGAGATTTTATTTATCTTTTATTCTTTGAAGATATTGTTCTTAGGCTTAAAAACAAACCGATTAACGGAAACGTCTCGACGCTCTGCGGCCCGACGACATAGTAATCTGAAAAGACGAGCCTCTGGAACCAGGGTTATAGAAATATCGAAATATCCCTTAACTATCGTCATTATAGCAAGGGGGATACTGAGATTCAGTAAGAAATGGTTTGGCAGCTGGTAAAAAAACATTGCAGCTGTATAGAAACATTTTTTTTCTTTCTTTTCTGTAATGTCTGTGACGCACTAGGCTGAAATGCGTCAGGGCAGGGGTTGTCCAAGGAGTGGGGTTTATGATTGGTTATTTCTTCTTTGGCCAATACTGTGACTTAACATAAAGTTATAAACAGAATAAACAAGTCTTAATGAATTGTTAGCCAGGAACGCTGTTTCCAGAAGTCGTTTACATAAATCAAGGTAAGAAGATTTAACTACACGAAAGCAATTTTTAACACCAGAAAGTCAAACTGACCAAAGTTTACAAAAGTCGTAATTTCAAATATTTCGATCCACAAGTAACATTTTGTTTCTACGGTGTTAAAATGTTCCATTTGTCTCTAAACGTTAGTAAGTGGATACTCCGATTTTTTCCAATAAATCGTTCTACAATAAGGAATATGTTTAATATAAATAAGACTGTCTGAATATTTCCTTTCACTACGGATCCTTTCACTACGGATCACTCAGTCTTAGAGGAGATTTCCTTAGACCGTTTTACCGGAAAAATGCGATTATCCTCTGATTGAACAACGTCTAGAGACAAACGAAACTTTTTTTAACACCGTGAAACAAAATGCTTTTTGCCTGACCGTGACACAGAATGCATATTTATATATCCAGGGTTCGTGCTAGTCCTTGAATATTTGAAAAAATCTGGTAAAATTGCATGTTGCTTTTTAGCTTTTGGATTGAATTGTGGCTTTTTGAAAATTGCCACTGGAAACGTTCGCAAACATAAAGGATTACCGTAGAAGGTTTTAAACTCTAACTTCATCTATATAGAAAACCGCTGTATTCAAAAGATTTTGCAACCTCTTTTCAACGTTTGCAGGGTTGAATTACGCCTAAATTACAAAGAACACAATAATTATATATGTAATAAAATATGATATCATTGAGAATGTTAAATTTGCAGCTATGAGGATTCATAGTAATTAAAAATTAAATATTTTTGACACTAGCTTTATTACCATCGTTTTTTAAACATAAAGCTAGTGTAAAAAAATGCATGTTTTTAATTAAAATGATATCATTAATATGTGAGTTTCTGGAGATTTTTAAAGTATTTCGATTATAAAACAAATTTGGTACCTCTACGTCTTTCATATTGAGCAAAGAGGAGCGCTTCTGTCTCGGTATKGATGCATGTTTTCCCAAGGGGGAGAAGCTTCTCAGATAAAGTTTATTTTGAGCTCCACTGTTAAGACTTTTCAGCCGTAGACTTTTGTAATAAAAGACTTCGCTACATCCATAATAAAGTTTCTTCCTGAAGACAGTCTTACTCTGCGAACAGAGGTACTTTTCTCACCCGCCGAAAAGCGAGAGAAATTATTTTTCTCTCGCTTTTCGGCGGGTGAGAAAAGCACCTCTGTTCGCAGAGTAAGACAGACTTAAACAGAAAATTCAAACTGATGGCAAGATTCAGCTAAAGTTCAGTATGAACACTGTCCAAAAAAAAAAGTTTTAATAACTTTTGGATATTGGTTTTTATTTTTCTGTTTTTCGAACGCGTTTTCAATTAGAGCGTTTGGCAGCATTTCTTCTAACGCAATTTTATTTTTTTCTTGAAGGAAAACTATTTAATCTTTTATAAACTCCAAAAGAAACATCAATTACCGAATGTGATCGCTGRCATAAACAACGAAGCCAATTATATAGCAAAAACATCAAACTTTCATCTAAATTATAAACTTTTTGAAGTTTTTTTAATGTCTAAAGATGAGTTAAGGTTTCTTCGGTTAATTAATCATTAATGTTATRTGCAAACTAGAGAAACGTTTCCCAATTTGGCATGAAATTTTATTGGTATATTACTACAATGCCTATGGAGACACAACAATGTTGCCAACATACCTTGACATATTTGGAAATGACGAATTGATTTTGAAAATTAATTGAAGTCACACTGTAGGCAGAGTAGTTTCTGCATGATAATTTGTCAAGGTTGATACACGACGAATGTTCACCGTTCAAAAAGGGTAAGCTCTGATGAAATTCTAGGATGCACATTTCATGGGTAGAAGCATTGGAATCTCTTCTACACCAAGCATTCCGTATTTTTCACAGATATCCCTTCTTTATTCTAAAAAATCCCTATTCCTTTTTAATGAAATTCCGAATTTCATAACGTTTTTCATTAAAATCCCGTATATTTCGCCCGGTATTTGGCCGGATTCCTCCTAGCCTTCATCGATGTACTGGTATTCAATGAAAACTTACCATGAAACTTAGCTCAGTACTCCGGAAAAGTTAGATATATATCGTAATGAACAATACAGGCTGCAGAGCAGCTGTCCGTGGTTTCTAGTTGAGCTTGTTTATAATACTATACGCAAGTCGAATCTAACAAAGGCCTCTTGTCAACTTCCACCATAAGTGATGCAAAGAATTCGGCTCAATTATTCTCAAATATCAAATTCACTTGTTTCAAAAATTTACTGCACTTCGCGTGGAAAACTGAGAGAATTTCACGATTTAAATTTGTTTTATATATTTTGGCAGACTCGAAACTTTATGAAATTTCACGGAATAGCATGAATACACCTACTACTATATCTTTGTTCCTGCGACAAACACCTTTTCAAAAGAGGAGCAGGAAAAAATCTTGTTTAACTTTTTCTGACAGACTTTGGTCGACTCGAAACCTTTATGAAATTTCACGGAATATCATAAATACACCTACTATATCTTTGATGTTGTACTGCATTTTTTAGAATCAAGATGACCCGGCTTATTCTCTTGGTCGTTGCRACTGGTTTTAATCTCGTAGATGTGAGCTTTGCAAACARMCCGCCTCGGCTATCAAATRGAACGGTGAAGCCATCACCATCAATTGGAACGGTGACGATGCTTCCGTCATCAATAACAGTAAAACAAAATGGAACGATGAAGCATCCGCCACCAAGTGAAAAGATGAAGCCTTCACTATCAAGTGAAACGGAGAAGTCTCGATCTAAAGAAGCTAAAAGTGGAACGATGAAGGCTCCGCCACCAAGTGCAACGCTGAAGACTCCGCCACCAAGT